ATATTTTCTTACTATATTTTCTATATATATACATTTTCTTACAAGGCATCACTAAAAACAAAATATTCCAACTGGGAATCAAAGTGCACAGCCTCGTTTTCCTTAAAGGGTTTTTTAAGGGAACCTACCTAACCCAAGCTCCCTAGTGAAAAAGGACAGTGCTACAGACATCTTAGTTACTCCTGGGACTCTACACCATGAATAGATTTGCTGATTCAACATTTGCTGTCTGCGGAGCGCTTTTGAAAACTATAACCTAGAAAAACATGTTGAGAAAAATGTCACAATTCTCTGGGGGCTATTCCAAATCGACCACTTGAGAGATTACTCTTGTTTTCACAGTCAAAATGCCATTTTAACTTTAAAATGTTATGTATCGCCTGGTCAAGATTTCCGTGTTAATTTCTCTTATGAAAGATCATCTTTCTGAATCAATTAGAATGAGAGGTCACACCAGTTAAGAGGCAAAAGAAACTCCAGGCCTTCTCCCAGGCAAATACTGTAGCATGATCAGGCGAGTTAATGTTGAGCAAGAGATGATGAGACATTCTAGTACTAAACTTTAGTCATGAGGTTCTTCTTAAATTCAGAATAAGAGACAGAACCCATACCCTGTCTCTTGCATATGTCTCAAATATACAGTATATAAAGTAGAGTTGGTGTCACCCTCTGTCCTTGCCGTCCGAGGGATTTTCCATCTCATCCCTCATCTCATCCTGCTGTCTCACCAGTGAGGGCTCAAGGTTATCATTCCTCAGGTAGTCAGCTGTCTATATAATATGAAATGGCTCTTTTACAATCAATGTGAACAGCCCATTACACTGACATTTTGGGGTTAGGTCTTGACCATCCAAGTCTATGTATGTTTTGGCTTCATTTTACCAGAGAGATCTTGTTAAAAGTCACACATAGCTCTCTCTTCTTCATTTTGAATTTTACATTGCGTAACTTTTACATAAGTGTCACATCATTAGTGGACTGTTTTCAGCAAATCTTTTTTTCACAAAATATTGATTCTCTTGGAAAGTGTAAAGGTGTTGAACACATCTGTGCTGTTGATTACAGAGTAGGATGATGATAAAACTGAAAATGTTATATCTAAAATGCACAAATCTGACAAGAATGAAATTAACAAGGTATGTAGATTACATTTTTAGCCCTAGAAAGTCTTAGAAAATTGTTTTATAAATATTAAACTCTGACATTTATTCAAAGCTACCTTTAACAGCAGAAATACGTATGTATTTTTGGAATAGGTGGTAATGCGGTATACAGTACAGTACATGCCTTATGTCTGAATAACTTCCCAGACTACCACAATGTCAAATAAAAATGGCAATAATATACTCCACTAGATTAACAGAAAGCATTGCTTTGTTTAAAGTATAATGGACGGATTCTAATAATTTTAATTGTTTTTCCTGCAGATGTTAAATGTATCACTGGTTTTTATTGATCTACAAAATCTTTACATTTGCATTTAATTTAATAGAAAACTGGTCACGTTATAAGTCATTTTTGATAGACCTCTATTAAAAATAGTAAGATCTGTTTCTAATTTCAGAATCATTGTAGTGCAATACAGTAAATCTGCCAATATTCAGTGTAGAATCTTGGGCAATATGATGTTTCAGATTAAAGTCACACGCCCTCCTGTCTCAGTGTAGGAACAGAAGCATTTGAGGGATCTGAAATTTTAATAGCAGAGGCAGGAGACACTGTCAAGACAGCAGTAAGAAGCCTCCATAATGATCCATGCTGTCAGAGCCAGATCAGTGCACAGCTTTGTAAAACCCTGGTCAAGGTAACTTGGGATCTCCAGCAGCACATCAGCAACTGCTATGGATGTCAATACTATTTATACCAGTAGATTAAGGCAGGACTTATTATATTTAGTTATAGGGACGACAAAATTTGAGTTTCATACTGTAGATTTAGATAATTATTCAAACTGTTTCATTTTTTGTGTAGTTCGTATTGTGTCAGACAGCACACATGCTTCACATTAAATAATAAGGATATTTTTTAACCTGGATCGGAAGATATCAAACCAAGTTAACTTCTTCATGCCTTACAGTACATTATGGTACTCAGCATTTATCATCTAGAACTGGGACTTTCATTTATATAATCACCATAAACCTATAAGAGATTTATGTTTCAGATTGTAATTACAGCACTTTCGTGAATGCAATAAAATAATCACAACTGTTGAAGACCGTCTTTAACTAAATCAAAGGAGACCCGCTGTAAAATGTGCAATAATGAGAATCTCCTTAATAAAAAACAGCAATAAATCTATACAGTAACCATGAATTGAGCTCTCCTGTGACCCTGTATTGGATAAATCTCTTAGAAAATGGATGGATATCTGTATCGCAGCCATACATGTCTACCTAGAAGTTAAACTTTTTTCTTACTTTTGAAAAGAAATGTGCTGCGTAATTATAAAACCATTATCCTTAATGATACGGTGCTGTTAAAGCTATTAAGCCATTTGTTTCCCAGACAGTTGTACAAATCTGACATTTTCTGCAAAGGAAAATGTGTGTAAAAGCATTGTAATGTTCTGTAATGTTAAGCACTCAGCTGCTGCCCACTCCCTCTCACCTGTGTGAGTCTGCATACTAATAGATCTGAATTGCCCTTCTGCTGGTGTTGCTTTGTTAGAAAAGGCCCTGCTAGCACTGACGGCAGGTGAGGAAGAAACTGACTTATTTTTGTTTTAAATACAATGAAGCATAATATTTTGATCATCTTGTTAAAACTGTTCTTTGAACCACTTGACACAAATTTTTTGCTTTCTAAATAGGGGGCATGACTCCATTTATAACTGATTTAAAAATTTCATTGTTGTGCTTTAAATGAATTAATGGTCTAGGGACTTTAAATATCAATGTCTCATTACATGCCTTTTTTGAGATTCTGTGTTTTCCTTATATTGAAATTTTGTAGCATTTAAAGCTGTCGTTAATTGACCCGATTTAAGCATTTTTGTGGGTTTTGCAAATACTGTATGCTGCTGCTGTTATGTCAAATCTGCTGAATGTTTGTTTCACATTCATCATTTGTTTATAAAAAGTGTTTTTTTTCCGCTATGATCACACACAAAATGAAATCTCAGGGAAGCATTGAGACATGTTGAACATCAGAGTTGGGTACAAACTCAAACATTTTACACAACAGATGCAGTGAAGCCTTTATTTAAACTCAACAGTCTGTAAATGTATTCTAAAACTGTGCATTACAAAGTTCATGCAGTTGTACCTTTTCTTCTTGAAATTCCATTGGCCTCCGATTTACTTAATCACCAAATACAACCTGCAGCAAAGATGTAACTATAGCTCCATTTTTAAATGAAGTTATGATAATTATCAGGTGTAGGAAAGTCTAGTATATTGACAGACAGATGGGCAGTCTGGCAGATTTTCGTTGTCTTTATTGAAAAGAAATGTCCAGCTTCTTCCTGGTACTGAAAGAATGCATGCTAGAACTTGGAGACTTCCCTGTAACACTGCAATTCCATCTAAAATCTGTGTCTGGAAAGCTGTATTTCTAAAATGCGTCAAGAAAAGTGAGTTTTTCCTTCTTGGGAATGAAAAAACGAAGAAGTTCTAAATGGTAGAAAACCAACAACTGGAAAAAACGTGTAATCAATATTGTGTTGTGCGTGCAGAGGACTTGTAATTTTCAGTCCATGGTTGTAGCAATGCAGTCAGAGTGTGACATGTGGAAAGCCAGAACCAACAACAATAAAGGACCATTCCTTCTAAACTGACAGCTGATTAAAATACAAAAGAGGTCTTAGTCCTGTTCTATGAAGCAGACACCAGAAATGCTCAAAAAGTCTCCAAATAGATTTGGAATTCTGAAGAGGACTCAAAAAAGAAAAAGAAAAAAATATGGAGATATACAAATAGAAACATTTGGAATTTCATGAGTGACAATTTACTGTACAAAGATTTTGCTGTGATTAGTCCGTTCTGGTGTCTACTGATTGCCTAAAGGACAATTCTACTTTCTGTAAATCATACAAGAAAGAAGAGCAAAGGACAAAGAACACAATCACAGCTCCAGAGGAATGCAGTCCATGGACTCTGAAAGGCACAATTCCCTTTTGATCCCTGCAGATCCTGTAATTTCTAAACATGTTGCTTACAGTTAACACAGGTGGACATTTTTCCCTCATAATCGGTTTCTGAGTTTCTTTCATCGTTAAATTTCCACACAGTTCTGGTTTTATGAAAAAAAAGGAGCTGGATAAAAAAAAAAAATCAAAAACATTTGCTTGCTTCTGGATTAGCCCACAGCATAATTCCAGCATCTTTCTGAATCACTTCAAAATCAAAGGAGGTCAGTCTGGTTCCTTCTGTCTTAGGGGTGGGTGAGGGCTGATGGGAAAAAAACAGTCTTGCCAAAAAGTGACCATATCTAGTCGCCCACATAGCCCTCAAGGAAGCCCTTCTCAAGGATAGCAGTCAGCGCAAAACTACATTGACTCTCAAATCCTGATGGGTTTCATTTTTACTGCTGTAAAAAGAAAATTTGTTTATACATGATTTAATGGTAAGCACCCCCACCCCAAAGAATCTATGCGTGAGCATAACACAGTTAAAGGGTAAATAAAAAAAAAACTGGGCTATCAATTTATTGTAACAAAGCACATCAACAGCCATGTTAATGAGCTGGAAACTTAAGACAAAAGAATATTTTAAGACTCATCACTAATTCAAATAAACTTTTTGGAACCAGAAATACAATGACTTTGCTAAGGAAAAAAAGCCATTTTTGTTAATCCAAAATCCAGAAGACTATGTACAGTATGTGAAGGAGAATATAAACTCAGCGTAGATGTGCAAGAATTTAAATATGAATAGAAAATAATAAAGTAGTGGATCAATGGAAGTGACAAAATGGGCCAATGACAAAAGTGAAAGGGGATTTAATGGATGGACTATCGCTCTGCACAGAAAATAAAAACATGTCTGTCTAGTGTTCCAATGTTTTAGAATTGCACCTGTATAACAACAGGAATTGCAGTGTTTCCTTTACAAATGTTATATTATGTTTCATTGAACTGTAGATTTTTTTTTCTAGAAAATAAGGAAGAGAAGAGAGGCAACCTGTTTAAAAGCACAGAAGAAAGAATGATTTTCAAATATATTTTCAGGGAAAATGCTGAGAGGTGTCTTTTAAACCTCAAAGTGAAGGAATGGTTTATTTCTCTCAACACCCGTTGAATAAGACATTTTAAGCAAACCGCATCAAACTCAAACTGGCAATCTAGTTCTATTCACTGCTGGAGGGCTCTATTGTAATAAAGCAATGAAGGCAACAAGAAATAGCATGGTTTTTCACAGATCCTCATGCTTTCTTTTACATAGAAATGGAGTTTGTCAACAGATATCTGGGAGGTGGTCAAATTTTGAATCTTGCCCATTAACGCATAACTATCTTGGTCCCTGAGCACCCTTTGTACACATCTTTTCTCACACTCTGTGTTTTAATCATGCCAGAGACTGATGTTTCTCTCACTCTGTGTCACAAGACCTTACCTTTCATCCCCCTGTCATTCCTGCAGATCCCAGGGGCCCCTTGCTTGGCTCCCACCCCATCTTCTCCTAGCACAGCTGGACTCGACAATATGACCACCCTTCACCTTCTTGCTGTATCTGAAACAAGAATCTCTTCGGCCTCTCTTTCTCCACACTCTGCAAAAAACAACCAGCTTCTCACAGTCGCCATGATGTCTCTTCTTCTCTGATGGCTCCTTCTGATGCAGTCACCTCTCCCTGCAACTCTGAAACAACCCAGTTACCACTTCTTGTTCCCCCACATCTCTCCCTTCTCTCTATTTCTCTGCAGTCCCCACTTTATCTGCTCCACCCACCTTCTGTTTTTACTTTCTGCTCTGTTACAACATCAGGTGTCCACCCAGCTGCACCTTCAGCCTATCTGTTGTTTGTCCCTTTTCTTTTCCCAGTCCTACTTTCCTGATGTTCATGTAGTAACTTGGTCAGCCACTGGCACTAATTCCAGCCTGTAGGTACGAGTGGACAGTGTCAATCTATGCTAAGCCTGCAGTCCTTCTTCTCATCCCTCACCACCCCTATCTCTCGCAGCCCTGGAGTGGCACTGATGTGGTGCAGGTTCCCCACACCCCCTCTCCACTGGTGTCCAACTGGTGTTGTGTCAGCTCCAAGCTCTCGGTCCCACACACACCCCTCCACCATGGAGCTTATCAAGTTCATCAGACTCCATGGTGGAAGGGTGTGTGTGGGACTGAGAGTTCATCTACTTTCCCTTTAACCACTATGTTTTGGATCTCCACCTATAATCCATCCTCACTTATTCAGTAATAGCAAATGCATTTGATAGGCCAGGGTACTTCCATTTAGTACCTCAAGCCCTGTTCCACTATCAGCCCTCTACCTTTCTGCCTTTACTTTTCTCAGTCAGCCATTCTCTGTGTTAACCTTCTTCGTTAATTCTTAGCCGTCTTCCCATTAACCAACCAGCATCAGCAAGTGGTTGCTCTGCTAATCTTGCCCAGAAATCGCTTCCTATACCGATTTCGTATCTGGCTTATTGAGCCTAACCTCACAGTTTGTACTCCTTCCCCTTCTGGGGTCAGCACAGTGCCTTTTGCAGTCCTTTATGTAATCCCAGTCTCAGCCTAGGCTAATGTTTCTCAAGAGCCTTGCATATGTGAACTGGCCAATCAACCAAAACGTGTACACCAAAAGCAAAACACCACAAGCCATTGAAGAACTACAGTGCTTTGGGGTTGCTTTGATCTCTGTGAGGGGGGTTGACCTTACAATCAAGCTGCCATTTCCTCAGTCAGGCAAGTAAAGCCAAAATTAAATATGCTGACCCTATGAATTCCCTAATCCCTTTGCATTCATTAGAATTTGGCCAAACTACTGAAATAGGGGAGGGGTTAGGATCTGACATCCCTCGAAGTCAAAGCCAGAGCTAATAAAATGAAGCGGCACTATTGGGCCATGTCACCACATGACAGTGAGGCAGAAAGCCAGGAAGAGGTGCCCTGTGATGCTGATTAAATACTCTTACTGTGACACTTAAAACCGGTCTGCACATATTTAAGTCAATTTATGTTCAGCAGGGAAGGAGTCATCTATAATTTCTACAACAAGTACCAATAGAGAAAAAATAAGGTGAACCTCCCTGCAGTTCAATATAATTCATAGCGGTCAGATATAATTATGCACCTTAATTATGCAGTCCATCTGCTTGTCTTAAAGTGCGTGAATGAAACAACTTTTGGCAATATTTAAGTCATACCAAAATTTGTCTCCTTTGTTGAAGTAAGGAGTTCATGTTTACCAAACCAACAATTGTTTTTGTTATTGGATGCCTTTTTATTAAATAACCCAACTATTTGTCTTACAAATACTCAGATGAAAATCTTCAAGAGACAGACTTAACATTTAAGTCATACGAAAATGGGTCTAATTTTTAGAAAGTAAGGGGCTCCTTCTCACAAAACTGACTTTTTTTTAGTTTCTTGTAATTTTTTATGTATATGACATACTGTACACATAAATATACACAAGCATACTGTACACAGTACAGAAACACAACAATTCATGTGTTCATGACTGCTTTTTGATGACTCAGATTTCACAGACGTTTTTTGTTTCTTAATGTCATCTTCCCACAAGATTGACTGCCTGGCAAGTTGAATGACATGTGTTTTTCTCCAAAAGGTCATCGTCATTAAGCCTGAAAACCACACAGAGCCTTTCAAGTGCTTGTAACTGGGCCTTTTCTTTTGCTTTCTTTGTTGAGAGTGTGCAGCACAAACTTTGGATCATTTAATAAAGAGATTGACAAGATTCTTACGTCAATAATACCACTAACCACAGCCCCCAAAATATGCTATAGTATTGAGTTTATTATCTGTCTCGTGCTGGCTATTAATACCAAATGGCAACTATTTCTGGCATTTTGGTAAAAGTACAGATCTCTAAATATATATATCAAAACTTATAGTTAACATATCAAAGTAGATTTTAATAGCCATTAAAAAGAAAATGTAGAGACACAGACTACAGGAATGCATTTTCAGTCTAAACTCATTTTTTACTTATATGTACTGTATATCACTTTCAATACAACAGTTTCCATAGTTTCAAGTTATGCACATGTCTAAAATATGTTATTATCTAAATACTGTATGCACTTCATGCCTTGCTTTCCAGACAAGCTGTGATAGAACTCATAACAATAGAAAGACTGAAAAAGAGAAAAGGCCACTTGGCCCATCTAACTCATTGAGACAATTGATCTGAGGCCTTAGGTCCAGGATTAAGGAATAAGGTCTCTTATCTCTCAGTGGTTGCTTCCATCTAAATTATACCATGCAACCCACTCAAGGCAAAGACTTGCAAAGCTGATAGGAAGTATTAAGGCCAACAAGTTAAAATCACAATGTGCAGAGACACAGGGGTTTAACAAAGAACTTCTATTACATCAGAATTCAGCTGAGACCAGTAAAGCAGGCTTTCTGTTTTGTTGTTTTCTCTCAGAAATGCTGTGACAAAAGTGGCAATGTATATCTCATTCTCTGGAGCTTTGATTCTGTCTTAACACACAAAAGGTTAAGCAAAGTGGAGTATGATAAGCTCCTGAACGTGACCTGATATCAGAAGGTCCTGAGCAGCAGTATTTGTTCAGCACATTGAAGTCCCCCCTCACCAGGTTAGAATATACAGTGGGAGAGAAATTCTCTAGTGCTTTAATAACAGTTGCTGTACCATTCAAGACAATCTTTGGCTGTACTTGTAAACTGAAATTCCATCTCACCCTTGGACATGAAAGATTCTATGACATACACCACCCCAGAATGCTGAATCAATTCAGCAAAGGTTAATTCAACCTGACCTGCAGAAGTTTCCTCTGTCATTATTGACCAACCCAAGAACTGAGAATTCCTTTCAAATTCCTCAGGTCACAATGACAGAGAATCAGTTTTCTGTAGGTGTTTCCTGGCTATACACAAGATAAATCATTTAAAAGCTACATTCTGTTTTTTATTCCCTCAAAATATCTTTCCTGTATTCCCTCTTTATCCATGTGGATTTCACTGAACGCTCACCTATACAGTTAGCACTCCTAAGTGATTATTCACAGTAATATTTCCACAGATATTAGCACACTCTTCCCAAGTGCGTACGGCAGTACATGCAAGTTGAAGGAAAAAATGTAAGCACCTGGGTAAAAGAGGAACAGGAAATATATTGAAAGCATCGGGTTCCTTGGCAGGTGTCACTAATGTGTTAATCAAGCAAATTGTTCCCAGCTAGCATGTATAAAAATTCTGGACCCCTGGTTGCCTATAATTATGGCTAGCATGGCAGGAGCTACAGTGACCAAGACAGTTCACCTTGCTGCTGTTTCATGAGTAACAGTGTCCACAAGAGATTAATGTCAGAATGGAACTCAGAGGGAAAGACTTCACCGGCAAAGGGTGAAGGTGTATACTCCAATATCATGAATGAATGACTTAATTTGAAGTGCAAGAGCAACTGCCAATCAATTGACTGCAAATTTCAAGCTGGGGCACGACCAGCAAGTTCCACTAAAGCCAGTCCGCTGGGAACTCCACAGAGTCACACCTGGGAAAACATGTTGGCAAGTTCATTGGTGTGAAGATCACAGCTACCGTGGAGAAATTTGATATGGTCAAATGAATCATCCTCTACCATGTTCTCATCTTCAAACAAGTGACTTCAAGTGACTTTAAATTGAGGTTTCTTTTTTTTTGTCAACTACCAGTATTAGAAATGTTTGTCATTTGACTTACTGTACATTGAGATTTGGCTTTTTCAGCCATGCAGTCAGCACTGGACATTTCCCAGCTCAGCCCTTACTCAATATTTATCTCAACACCTGGGATTTGACAGAATTAAAAGCACTCTTGATGGAAAGGTTTTGGTATTTGAAAAAGACAGTATAGCAGTTGGCTAGGTTGGTGGCGGTAAGGAAGATATGTTGCCATCCTGTGTAGCTGTTAAGGACTTGTGCTTGCCTCCTGCCTCATGGCCATTCCAGAAACAAAAGGTCATGCTGTTATACTAGATCAGTGCCTGAAGATGAAGCGCTCTGGGAATGATAAGACCATGATTAAGGCTGTAAAACACTGCAAATTGCTCAGAGCAAACTGGCAGGTTACAATGTAAAATAAAGACAAATGAGTATGCTGCTTCCAAACAAGTGTATACAACTTCATTAACAAACCCAGTAACACACTGAAACCAATTTCCAGTGTCTGCTCAGCTTATATACAGGTTTTTAAGTCTAGAACAATGTATTATTTTGTTGCCCAGTCTAAATATGAAGCTTCAATTAAAAATTTAGTTTTCTACATTTTGGGATTTTTCATTCTAAATTTACAGAGCACATTGGCACATACATCATATCCAGAGGGGGCACTCAGACTTATTTTCTCATGATTTTCTGTCTTTGATGATTAAAGCTCTTTATGTTCAGGGAAATAGAGCTGTCGAGTGAAGAACAGTGAATTGAATAATTGAATGTATTAATCTTTGGTAATGGCCTCTTATTATTTTGCTGAAAATGAGAGCTGCAAGACTTTTTTGACAGAAATGAAACCACTTCTGCCCTTTGCTAAAAAGACTAATGT